TTTCTAATGCCTTCCGTCTGCTATATATACATATTTGTAATATATGTAAATATCATTCCATTTTGCGTATATTTATAAAAAATTTACTTTATATATACATATTTACAGACATATGCATATAGGGTGTACAACTAAAACCACAGCACATATTCCAGCTTGATACTAATGCAATGTGTCTTCACGCAAGAGATAACTACAAAGCTACAAATCACACATCGGCGAGAGACACTTTCCACCAGATATAACCTCTGTGCGCATGCGTCGCATGTGGAAGAAATTTACATTTAACAATTAGGAGCAGATGTGAGCCTCGACCCCACGGCGTCCTACATATAAACTATCCCAGCCAGTTGAGGGGAGGTAGCTGCTCTTAAGAAAACCGGAAAAACAGAAAAGAAATAAACGATTAAAGACAGAACTTTAGAGGTAACGAGTGAAACACATCCATAGACTTTGCCATTTTAGTCTCACGGTGATAAAGGCCTACACTGACAACTGTCGATGAAAAAAATATATGTATTAACAGATAATTAAAACTAGAACTAAAACTGTGACCAGAATGATGTTATAGTAACTAAGTTGAGGTGTTTATTGCTGTACCAGAACGTGTAAATAAGTTGAGTTGTTTATTACTGTATAAGAATGGGTAAATATGTTAAGTTGTTTATTATTGGTCAAGAACGTGTAAATAATTTAAGATGTTTATTACTGCACCAGAATAGGTAAATAATTTGAGGCGTTTAATGCAACTAAACAAGATATGTATTACTCAATTGCGTGTGGCTTAAGATTTATTTTTATCATATGGCAAGTTTTTGACTCCCTAGACCGAAACGTTTACAGATAATGTATAATAATTGTTCCTCAATGGAATGAGTCGAATACTTAACCTCAGTTAACTACACGTATTTTACTACGTTGGATATACAAGTATTTACAAGTTTTTTGACTCCCTAGACCGAAACTTTTACAGATAATGTATAACAATTGTTCCTCAATGGAATGAGTCGAATACTTAACCTCAGTTAACTACACGTATTTTACTACGTTGGATATACAAGTATTTAAGTTAATACATACCTTAAATAATTTACATGATTTCATACACACTATAAGTTATTTACATGTTTTTATGCAGTACCACATAACTGAGGTCATTTACCCGTTCAAGTGTTATAACGCACGCAACTACGGGTTCATTTTGAAAAGCCTTACCCATTAGAGAAAACATTCACACCATGTGCGGTTTTTATCTATATAATAGAGATAGTTCTTAGGCACCAGACAAAAGTAACAAATGTACCTATTCGAATGTGAGAAACAAAATGTTCTACGATGTTAATACTGTATTTTCAAACAGTATGCACACAAATTTCACGAAAATTATGATCGTTCTAGTCGTAGCACACAAAAATTAAATTGTTTACCTCAGTAACACAAAATATCTAATTTGTTTACTTGAGTATTACACAAGACATAAGTTGTTTGCCTGAGTATTACACAAGACATAAGTTGTTTACCTCAGTAATCAACAAGACTTAAATTGTTTACCTCAGAAATACAGAAGACTTAGGTTGTTTATCTCAGTAACACCTTTAACCTAAGTTGTGTGCCTCAGTATCACACACTACTTACTTTGTTTACCCCAGTAAACACCTGATTTAAATTATCTAACTCAGTAACATACATGGCTTAAGTTGTTTACCTTTGTATCACACACACAATCTAAATTGTTTAACTCAGTAACACAGATGGTTTAAGCTGTTTACCTCAGTAACGCACAGATCTTAAGCTGTTTATCTCACTAGTGCACTTGACCTAAGTTGTTTACCTCAGTAACACACATGGCTTAAGCTGCTTACCCCAGTAATGCACTTGACCTAAGTTGTTTACCCCAGTAACATACATGGCTTAAGCTGTTTACCTTAATAATGCACTTG